GTCTGCTCTGGAGCCCTCCTTCCTGAGCGAAGACAAAAATGTGTGAGCCGGAGGCTAGAAAACTGTGAGCCAGCTCACACTAACTCAGCTTAGAGGGAACACTGCTTGTGAGTACATTCAGGATACAGGATTTAGAAACAGCCTGGTTCCCTTATGTTGCAAACAAGTCCTTCCTTAAAGCCTTTAGGTTTAAGAGACTAGAAATGATGGCTTTTGATATGCAGAGGACATTTGGGGAAATGTGCTAAAGTATAGTGTACAAGAAATGTCATTGTTTACATTTAAATCCAGCGAGGTTTTGAATATTAGGATTCAGCAGTAGTTCCTAATGTGTACACTTTGACAAGTACGAAATGTGAAAATGTCATGAAATATTATATAGCCTGTTGCTTTATGGGAATGTGCTACAAAATAATATATCTACAAATTAAAATTCTGAAGTTAAAACTCTAGTTCTGGGGTTGTTTGTGACATTGCGTTTGTTGATATCTTTGAATAGGACCTATTCTCAGGTGCTTCTCAAATGCAGGAGTTAAATAATGAAATACTTCTTTTTTTTTCTTTAAAAGCTTTTTATTGTCAGGATAATGCAATCCATTTTAAACGTTTACACATTTTATCACATGATTCACATATCCCATTTTTTAATGCTTTCCCCTACCCGCCCCCATACTTGGCTTCCCGCAATGCTTCTATCCCGTTAATCATTCTAATCTAAAATTTTCCATTACATTTTCTACTGTTCACTTTCTTAAATTTTTTTACTTATTACTTATTTTATTCTATATCTTATCATCCGGTAACCTTAAGTTCCATTTAGTCATAGACTATTTCATTTCTAATATTCTTCAAAACACAATGAATTGTTTGTAACATCCCAACTGGTCTCCAAATATTCTTTAAAGTCTTTCCATTCTTCAAAGAAATCTTCATCTTCTTGATTGTTTAGCTTTCTTGTCATTTTGTAATAATGAAATGCTTCTTAAAATTATCTGAAGCCAGTGAAAAATGCCTTTGCCATGTTCTAGATTATCTATGCCAGCAGAAATAGCTTATTTTCCTCATAAAAAACACAACATATAGACATTTTCAAAGTTTGGCTGTTCTTGGTAACCAGCCATGAAGATGGTCACCCTGACAACCACAGCAGTATGCCCCTGGTAATATGTTTGACTAGTTATGAGGGGACTTTGGTTAATGTTTTCTCTCATTCGCTGCATCTTCTTTGTGCATATACGTTAGTTTCATCACATGAGTTATAAATATGCGAGTTTTGAGGCAGCAGCAAAAGTACAATACTGAGCAGATGTAGCAGAACTCTGCGTTCTAAATATTAAAAATAGTAATTCGGGAAGTTACTGGCAAAAGTAAGTTGTCATGGGTAATTTTTTGCATTTGACTCATGATACTTATAGATTCCTGGTCTAATTTTTCTGGAGAAGTAATTTGAGAAGCAAATGAGAAGTGATATGGCAGTCCCTAAAATTCTGGGGGGGGGGGGCGTTGCCACAGGTGCCATTTTATGTGTACGTACTCACAGGTCTCTGTTTGGTTCAAGGTCTTCTAGTTACTGACCCTCATTGTAAAAGTATTGTAATTTGAAATTTCCTCTAGAAGTGAAGTATTTCTTAGATTTTAAATCTCTCGATACTGTCAGCAGCTTTCTGTGAAATGCTTGCCAACCTGGAAGTAAGCACCCAAAAAGAAAATCTGTGGGACTAAGTTCTCAGTTGTTTCCTAATAGGTTTTCTGTGTATGTAAATGTGGGTAATGATTTGAGGGTATTTTGACAGTATTATACTAGATTAGAAACTATATTTAGCAGACGCTGTAATATAAATAGCTGGAATTGGACCCACAAAGTTCTGAAGCACACATAAAAGGGTTTCAGTTTTACTCATTACACAAGTGTTTCTTGCAGTGTATTAATAACTAGTTGCTGCACTATGAGAAGGTATTTAGAAGATGGTTTGTCAACTGGAGTGACTTGTTCTCCATAATTACTAGCGTCTCTGGTTGAACCAGAAAATTGTTTAGGTGGCTGGATTAGAAAAATATGGTGTGATTGGTTAAAGGAGGCGGCTTGTGCTGGTCTGAAAAGATATTTTTATTAGATTGGTTTTTTGCATAGAGATGTACATATACTACCAAATCCTATACAGTATTGTGAAATAGATAATTATCTAAGTATCTGTGTGTACAGTAGGTAAAGTCATGGGTTTGGCCTTGGGAGACTCAGTGGCTCTATTCTTTGAGCCAGTGATCTTACTGGATTTTCTTAGGCAGGTGTTATTTCTCAGTCTAATTTACCTTGCAGGCTTTTTTTCCGGAAGATATAAATATTAATAAGCATAAAGCACTTTGTACAATGAAAACTGCTAAGGAAGTTGTTACCAAATTGGATTTTTCTCTGGCTTTTTCACAAGGATTCAGAACACAGCTCTCAGTCAGTACATGTGAATAGACTCTACACACCAGTGGGTGACGGAGATGGCATTTGCTGACCCAGTCGTGCCTGTCCTCCATGGTATCATGTTTGAATAGGGGCTTACTTTTACAAATGTAATCTGTGATCTCTTTATTCCTCAATTTTTAGGATGTGACGGTCACATGACTCAGGGATGGCCGGCAGCATACCCAGAGGTGGGGTATGCTTTTGGCATGGTCCACTGTTGCCCCCCTTTCCCTCCTGACCACTTGGCTCACTCACTTTCACCCCCAATTTCCACCTGCTCACTCGCCCACATGCCCTTCTGCTGCCTTTGTTCTGCCTATGGAAAGACGCATGACCACACCACCCATGCACCCTTCCTCCTGTGGTGCTGCATGGCTGGAAGTGCCCTCATGCATGAAAGCCAATGGAAGGCAAGCTTGAAAGCAAGGGGGTGAGGGAAGGATTGTGGGCAGCAGGGGAGGAACATAAGCATATGGGTGGGAAGGGATCGTGAGCACTCTCTGCCTGGGGTCTTCCAAAGCCTAGAACTGGCCCTGGCGTGGCCTGGTCCTATATACACTGGGCACTATGTGGCCAAGCCTGTAGTCCAACATGACTGCCAATGTGAGGGACTGTTGGCTAGAACAGGCAAATGTAACATCAAACTTCCTTCATACTTTGACCCAGTGAACATCTGCAGAGATCTTAATTTATAGCCCAGGTGTTGTTTATTGACTTAGTTAATCTATTTAAGGGATAGCAACCTGAATAAGTATCTTCAAAGCACAGTGCTAGCCTATTTCTGTATTTGTTGGTTTGTTTAACTAAAATTTTATATCGTACATTTGCTTCTTTTTAAAGTTGTATGCTTATACAAGTTAAAACACAATGTAGAATAGAACCATGGACTTTTACAGGGTCTGTTAACAGCTATGTAGTAACTCCAAGAGCCAAAGTTCAGCATTGCCTAATAGCACAATCAAATTCATCATATGGGGGGCCACAGAACCACAGTATGAAAGCCATTTGAAAAAGACAGCCTTGCAGAGTTCTGAAGGGCCAGTGAAGAGGTTGCCTTAAAAGCCTCCTGAATGCTCCACCATTGTGTATTAACCACCACTGCAAATGGGTGAATTCTAGTTACAGAAAACTGTACTTCATGGAATGGGGGTATCACCAGCAGCAACAGATGGTAGCATCTTAATTGCTGTATACAAGGAAAGGCGGTCTTTCAGATATGTGGGTCCCAGGTCATGAAGGTTTTTATAGATAAGTACAATTATCTGGAATTGAACCTGGAACAAATTAGTAACCTCTGTAGTCGCTTCAAGAACAGCACTAAATGTTCTTTCCTCCCTGCGCACCTTAAAATGCAGGAAACCACTTTCTGCCCTAGCTGAACTTCTCTTCATATGTTTAAGGGCAACTCTATGGTAAGCTTGTCATAGTAGTCCAGTCTTAAGGTTACAAAAGTCTTGGCCAGCATTGCTAGGTCAGCCAAGTCCAGAAAGAGTAACAATTTGTGGTCCACATGTAGGTGAAAGAAGGCATTCTTAGCAACCTGCTCTTCACGGAGCAAGGCTGGGTCCAAGACCCCACCCCAGCAGTCTTTTATCTTGTCAGATAAGTACAGCATTACATTGTCCAGAACTGGGATATCAGTCCTATGTAGAGTTCTTGTTTTAACCACCAACTTCACCTTCTTCTTCATCTTTGGGTTCAATTTTACCTTGTTTCCCCTCATTCCCCTTGATTATGGTACTGCTTCAGGACAGACAGCAGCATCCGGAAGTTTTGACAGATGCATTGGTGACACCCCATTCTGAAGCTACAAGTGATTTCACTTAAAGTCCTCATACAAATATTAAAGAGCATTGGTTATAGTATAGAACCTTGTGGAACATCGCACATTAATTCCCTTGGAGATGATTCTTGTTTCTCTGGTAGAAAGACTTTGCCGCCTAAGCATGGCATGGTCAGCAGTATCAGAAAAGTCTAGCAAAATTAACAAGGAAGAAAATCTCGCCATGATCTAGTCAAAGATCTTTCAACTATTATCTACGTAGTCTGGGTCCCCTAACCGGTCCAAAAACCAGATTGAACACGAGTTCAAACCTTCTTCAAATTGCCAGAGGCTCCTTAAGGAGTGTCCACTCTCCAAGAATCCTTTGTATGTGGGAGGAGTCATAAACTGAGAATTGCTGTGCCTAGCCGCCTTATTATCAGTCAGCACCTACAGACAACAGTCATTCATATATTTTAAGTAAAATGTATTTATAAGGTGTTCTCATTTTTGCTTTAAGATGGGTGACAAAATGATTTGATTCCTTGCAAGTGCCCTTAATTCATATTTTTCATATATATAATTGGAGCTTGAAGACTAAAGTTATTATAGATCTTTCAGGACTTGCATTTTTTGAAAACTTAGTCACCATGACAAGGGTTGTAGGATGTTTGTGACTATAAAGAATGAGGAAGTAAGAAACCTTGAACTTGCAGATAGCTAACACTGTACAGACCAGCTCAGAGGGCTTTTGTTCTTTACATTTTAAGTACAGAATGTTACCTTTCATGAATACATGGAGCTCCAGAGACAAAGGTAAGGGACTACGGTTTCTTTTTTCCTCTTTTTAAAGACTTTGTCTGTTTCTGCTGTGCTACCTATTAGCCCTGATCAGAGAAGAGGCATGTTTTCAGACGCTGCTGTTTGTAGCTGGGTGTGAACGTCTTGCATAAAAGACCTTGTTCTTTTCAGGCTTATTGCAATTGGATCACACTGTGTCTGAAACAATGTCAAACACTGTATGAAATGTTGAATGTTTCTCAGGGTGGTTAGAATGAGGATTTAGGATTTCATAGCTGTGCAGGGCAGACTTGCAGATGTCCTTTTGAAATAAATACCCACTGAACAATAAATTGCATTTAGAGCAGAACAGTAAACTTGCCCATCACTGTGTGGGACAGAAGGCATTGAAATACTTCACTGCTACCAGGATTGCTTCAGTCTTGATTTAAGGGAGTTCATTTTTTTGATTCTGTAATATAGAGATTAGTACCTGGTAACTGCAAGACCAGAAAAAGCCTAAGAGGGGGTATAGCATGCTTCTGTAGTTGCTGGCTGCCTTCTACATTTCTTACCACAGCTCATAGGAACATGCTTAAATATTTTTAAAGACTTTAAATGTTTTAAATTGGCTTTATTGTATTATTCTATTGTATTCATTTGGATTGTTTCGTATTTATTGCTGTGAGCTGCCCTGGGCCCGTTGGTGGGAAGGGCGAGATATAGATTGAAATGATAAATAAATACTACATCTTTTTGCTGTTTCCCTCATTGAGCATTGAAGCAAAACTTCAAGTTTACTTTCAGATTAAATCTGAAATGGGTATAGAAAATTAATTTTGTTTCAAGCCCATTTTTTTAATGAAAGATTCAGGTTTCTGTTCAGGCATAAAGTTTACTGTGTGACTTTGAGCTTGTCACTCTCTTTTAGTCTAACTTCTCAGGGCTGTTGGGATGAAATGGAGGGGTAGAGCACCATGTTTGCTGCTCTGCACTCCTTGGAAGAATTAAAAATGTAATTGATACCCGGTTCTTTTTCCTTTTCATCTACTCCATGTCCGGCTGTGGATGTCCCAAGTAGGTGCCTGGATCAGTAATTGGCCAAATGACATCTAATAAACTACAGCTCAGGCTTGATGATGGAGGTACTGTGGGTAGCTGAGTCACTGGTCCATGTAGCTGCTGATTAGTGCTGAATAGAGTTGCCAGCAGGCCTGGAGGAAAATGCCCTGTCCCTTTGACGGAGGCTTATTTTGTGAAAATGGGCAGATGAAGCTTTTCATGGCACAGAGGGTAAGTAACCTCAGTTACTGGTAAACAGTATCCCATTAAGCCTCTGTTAAAGGGACGTGACATTTTCTTCCAAGTCTATTGGCGACTGTAGTCCTGACGAGGGTTATAACTTGAGGATGTGTCTGGATCTGAGGTGGCAAATGGATGCTTAACTGGCATCAGTTGCAAGAAGCTGCTTCCATCAGTAGGACTTGGCGTGCTGGCTGCATTGTCCTCCGGGAAGAGATAATCTGCCTGCAGTTTGCCATGCTCTGGTTAGTTACGGACTTGGTTACTGTAATGCATTGTTCATGGGACTTGTTTGAAAAGCGTTTAAAAATTTTAGCTGCCAAAACATGGCAGCCAGGTTTTTGTCTTGGGGCTTACAGGAGTGACCGTACTACTCCAGTATTAAAAGATCTTAATTAATTTCCAGTTTATTTCTGGCTGCTATTCAAGGCTCTGGTTTTGGCCTGTAGAAAGCCCACAAGGTTTTGGGGTCATGCTGCCTCCAGAACTGCCTCCTTAAGATCCTCTTTGGATCCCTTCTAGAGTGTACCCAACTTCTGAGGCTGAGTGGCTATCAGAGAGAGGGGCCTCTTCTGTGATAGTGCCCCCTTCTGTGATAGTGCCTATAGGTTCACTGACACCCTGTCTAGGGGAAATTGCCTGGCATTATCTTTATTATCATTCAGGTGGTAGACTAAGCCCTTGCTCTTTTCTCAAATTTTTATGCTTTGCTGTTTTTAAAATTGAATTGTGTGCTGGATGTTAATAGGTCTCTTTGATTTTAACTAGTTTATACATGTGTGCCGAGTGCGTATATTGTGATTTTAACATTGTATGCTGACTTGAATAGCTTTTAAAAGAGAAAAAGCAGGAAATAAATACTTTCCTAAGAGGAAATGCAATTTTATGGGGAAATGAGTCGTAGCTGAGTGTTGTTGGGCATACAGTATTATTTGCTAGCAATAGTACATGAATGTATTAATTCTCCAGTCACAAATGTTTTTTGTAAGAAAAGTGGTTAAGATGCTGAACTGCAGGCTGTGGAAGGTCAGTAGTTCGGTAGTTCGAGACCTGAGTTGCCGCATGACGGAGTGAGCTCCCGTCTCTAGTTCCAGCTCCTGCCAACCTAGCAGTTCGAAAGCAAGAAATTGCAAGTAGATAAATAGGTACCACTCCGGTGGGAAGGTAACAGCGTTCTGTGCGCCTTGGTGTTTAGTCATGCCGGCCACATGACCACAGAAACGTCTTCGGACAGCGCTGGCTCCTTGGCTTTGAAACGGAGATGAGCACCGCAACCCTAGAGTCGGATTCGACTGGCTTTCGAGCAAGGGAACCTTTACCTTTACCTTTTATACCTTTAAAAACCCATAACATTTTCAGAGACCTAATATTAACTGAGGTTTTTTTTAAAAAAAATACAAGTTTTTTAATGCTGTGCCATAAAATGAGATTGTATTTCTTTTAAGCTTTCTCGTGCAGCCCTTAACACTAATTCAGAAGGGGAGATTGTTCTCATTTGTAAAAGATTAGGCTTTCATCACCTGTAGGTATAATTCAGGGGTCAGCAACCTTTTATACTATACTTTTAGAGCAACAAAGAGCCAGTGTCAGAGAACCTGGGTGCACAATTGAAAATATACAGTTTAATGTTATTGATAATTGACATGTTAATTAATAATCCATAAAGTATCTGCAGCCCAAACACTGGTTGTTGTGAGTCCTATATCACAAAGTGGCACATACAAGTAAGTCATAAATATATGCAGAAGCACAGAGTGTATAGGTTCACTGGCATAAACCTGTGCATGGTTCGCACTTGGATTACTGTCTGCTGTTCACCTCTATTATTTCCCGTTCCATAAAGCCTCTTTAAGAAGCCATTCAGTCCCATAAAATGTTCATCTGCCATGCCATTCGTGTCCTGGCTATTCTGGCCTCCCAGCTACCCCTCCAATATACGTTAACTTTTATTTTTGTTTTTAAAGAGCCATTTTTGGTTCTATACTGAGCCATATTTGGTTCTAGAGTCATAGGTTGCAGAACACACACACCCTCCCCACATGCACGCCTCAGTCTGATTACTTGTGAGGTCTAAGTAGAAGTAGAAGAAGAGATTGGATTTATACCCCGCCCTTCACTTCCCAAAGGAGTCTCAGAGCAGTTTACAAACTCCTTTCCCTCTGACAGAAACTGCTCTTTTTCAAGGACAGCTCTGACAGAACTATGGCTCACCGAAGGTCACCCAGCAGCTGTGAGTGGAGGAGTGGGGAATCAAACCCGGTTCTCCCAGATTAGAGTCCATGCACTTAACCACTACACCAAACTGGCTCTCTGCTTGTGATGCTCAGAAATTACTGGCCTCTACTTGAGCAGATTTGTCCTTGTCTGTTCTGTATAAACTATTACATTTTGGCTAGGCACTGAGAAAGGACAAGAAGCTAGGTAGCTACGGGTACACCATTGGAGTCCCACTCTGTCAGAGATTTCATCCAATATTGACTATCTTTGCAGTCAAAGGATCTAGAAATTTGCTTCATTAAGAAATGAATTCATCTAACAACCATCCCTAGTACCAGATTCACCATTCGTTTGGTGTTTAGTGCAGAGCTGGTGAATACACACCGCATATGTTCAACCTTTAACAGAGGCCCTAGACCAGCAGTTCATAAACTTTAATCCACTGCTGCCCACCAAGAATTCAACATTATCATCAAATGCTTTTCAAAAAAGCTACAATTACAGTAAAAAAGGACAAAAAAGCAGTATTCCAGATGAGGGAACTTTATGTATAAGTGTAAGTTATAAAAAGATAATAATAATAATAATTGTGTGTCATCAAGTTGCTTGCAACTAACTCACGGCGACCCCAGGACCATGGGATTTTCAAGCAGTACCATATATGAACCTGACAGACCTTTCTGGAGAACTGGTTTGTTCCTTTTCTTTATTGCTATTAAAAAGCCCTCTGGGTCGTTTTCTTTCTGGAAGTATATCACAAATAGTCTCATGGATATAAGCGTGTGGTGTGGTGGGTTGCCCCAAGTGCAGAGGAACCATTCATATTTGCTGTATGCCACGTCTTTAAGTGGGAGAAATTTGGAATGTGGGATTTTGTCCTCCAGTAAAGCAGGTCTCTTCAACTGTCAGAGAAACAACGGCAAATGGGGAGGGCTGCCTAGAATTGTAAAGTCATGATTGCCCCCGAAAGTCCGGAGTGCCCCCCAAGATTTATAGCTTTCCCTGCAGGGTCCAGTGATGGCGAACCTTTTAGAGACCGAGTGCCCAAACTGCGACCCAAAACCCACTTATTTATTGCAAAGTGCCAACACGGCAATTTAACCTGAATACTGAGGTTTTACTTTAGAAAAAACAACTCATACATTAACTTAAGATGATCCAAACAAAGTAAGGAAAGCAATCCCAAATGCTTTCATTTACTTAAAATTATTTGGCAGAGAATTCCACACTTTAATGACGGTCTAGGCCTGGCTGGGGCGATGGCACGCGTGCCCACAGAGAGGGCTCTGAGTGCCACCTCTGGCACCATGCCATAGGTTCGCCACCACTGCCCTAGACTGATGGAGGGTTATTAAGTTTAAGTAGTCGGATAATGTACGTCTCCAGGTCCTGCCTGCTGTATGCAAGCCTCATGCATGTTTTGACTACTGCTGTTGATGAAAGCAAAAGTGAGTTTGGGGGAAGTAATCCGTTCTGAGTCTTGAAAGGAGGGTGTTCTGGGTGTGTTAGAGATAGCAGTAGCACAGAATAATAAAACCCTTTTTGTTTAACTCTGTATTTTGTAACATCTTTTCTATTACAGGTTGTCAAACAATACATCAATACCATAGGGTAATAATAGAACAACTTGAAGAACCAGTTTCTCTCATTAGTCATATTCAGGAAGTGGTTCATTAACTAATTTGACAGTTCTGTCAGGATGCTTATGTAAGTGTTCCAGGACAGTGTCTAATTTACCCGTGATTTCTTGGTCACTTCCTGTGATGCAAGAGAAGTTGGCAACTGTTGGAGACAAAATACAGAGGAGGGTAGACATTATTCTTCCACCGAATGGCACCTTGCATAGGCCTCAGTTCTGCAAGAAATTCTGGAAACTGTTGCATCATAGTGGTTCAGAGTGGGTATTGCAAACTAAGAAGTCCCCGGTTCAGTTCTTACCTTGACCTAGGGTTGCCAACTCGACTTACCCCTCGAGTTCAATTCTCACCTTGACCAGAAATTCACCTATGTGCCTAGTAGAGCCAAAACACTGATATAAAGCATGGGAGTGCGTTGAACATATAAATATGAGTCAGGGAGTTGAGAGTGAGCATGCAATCTCCAGTGAGATCTCCTAAAGCTGAAACAGGCTCTGTAGTGATCAAGAGTTGATGCTTCATTGTACTGTGTCTAATTGGTCCTTCCCACGATTAACAGGCGGAGAATTCAGTAACACAAAAATAAGCACATCTATGAAAAGTTGCATAATTTATAGAGCTGACAGAATTCAGCTTACCTTGGAGCAGAATTTGAATTACCGTGCATGGACTTGGAATTTATTTCGCAGAGTATACACAGTGAATGCCAAGTTTGTGTCTGCATGCTTGTGAGAAAAATGGCATTTCAACAGTCGGGTATGTTCTGGACTTAAGGCACCTTTCAGATGACCACTAGTTGCCTGTGGTGAAGAGGAGCTTCTTCCAGATTCATGGTGGTGGAAAGGGCCGTTAAGTGGCAGCCAGTTTACTTAAAGATATGGAACTGCTAAATGTGCGAGCCCAGGTGTCATAGCTACTATCGGATACCAACGATTGTGTCACTCTCTCAGTGGCAAAAACCATAGGCACAATAATCAAATATAAGAGAAACAATACTGAGTAGGGTCTTTTAAAATATTTTCTTTGGTTCTAATTTCTGCTTAAAGTGATAGCTCTATGAGCAGTACTAGATTAGATTATAGATTAGATTAGATAGATAATTTCTGTTTAAGGTGATAGCTGTATGAGCAGTACTAGATTGGATTAGATAGATAGATCATTTCTGTTTAAAGTGGTAGCTGTATGAGCAGTACTTGATAGATAGATAGACAGACAGACAGAAGTTTCAGCCAGTTTATGGCAACCCCATAGGGATTTTGAGGCAAGAGACATTCAGAGGTGGTTTGCCATTGCCAGCAACCCTGAACTTCCTGAGTGGTCTCCCATCCAAGTACTAACCAGGGCTGCCCCTGCTTAGCTTCCAAGATCTGAGAAGATCGGGCTAGCCTAGGCCATCCAGGTCAGGGCTCTTTGGTGCTACTAGGTAGGAAAGCATTGCAAAAAAAAATAATAAATCCTCCCTTTTAGGCCACAAATTGAGTAAAAGCTATTTTAGTGGGCTGTAAATATGTTGGTGGAGCTGCGGTGGCTCAAGTGGTTAAGACGCTGAACTGCAGGCTGTGGAAGGTCAGTAGTTCAGCAGTTCGAGACCCAAGTGCGCCGCATGACGGAGTGAGCTCCCATCTCTAGTTCCAGCTCCTGCCAACCTAGCAGTTCGAAAGCAATAAATTGCAAGGAGATAAATAGGTACCATTTCGGTGGGAAGGTAACAGTGTTCCGTGCGCCTTGGTGTTTAGTCATGCCGGCCACATGACCACAGA